AAAAGAGCGCAGAGTAAAAAGGGGCAATCATATCCCACTCTTTTTATGTAAATCAGTCAAGACCTTACTACCGATTGCAAACACATGGTGCATGCACCGTGCTGCAGTTCCTTCGTCCGTTTCATCAGAAGCAGCATTTTTTCAGGGGCCCGGAAGATTTTAAAATATTTCGTTTTGGATTGTCTGGTAAGAATCCCACTTTGTCTCACTTGTCTCAATCTCGGGCTAATATTTTGACTCTGACTGGTAAGATAAGAGTTTGGGGAGCAAAATGTTATATTCTTACTTTTCAGGAAATTTCAAGTGGTCAGTACTGTTTTTCCTCTTGACCTAACGAAAAACTCGCATGGGTCTCACATACTTATGCCAGACTTATTGTATGTCGCTTAAGAAAAAGACTAACCTAGACCGTTTCCATGGTTAATCTTCCGAATAACAAGCTTAAAATGACGCCTGATAGTTTGGAAGATTAACTAGATCCATTGACAAACAACTTTATTCGCAGTCAACGAATTATTTCTTCTTGCATGGCGCCAAAATTCATATTGCTACCTAAGCGATGATTTTTTTTGGATTCTTTGTATCAACCAGCAGCGAAGTTTCCAAGGAAAATGACAACATTAAACCTCTGTGACTTTAGTAACTTACTGACTAACCTTCTGTGTCTCGCTGAAACGCTGTCAGAACCACCCCGGCGATAAGAAGAGCTTTTATTAGAATTGAAAGCTTCATTTTGCAAGAATCAGAATAGTACAATGAAACCTAGTCTCCGAATATCTTTTTATACTAGTATTTACCGCAGTAATTGTGAAAAGAATTTAACGGCATACATCTGTGTGAAAACCAAACATTGGCAATCAATTCAAACTTGAAAACATTCTCACTGCAAGACTTCTGTCCTCATTTTAAAAGACTATTGTAAATGGTTCTACACCTGTGTAAAGATGAAATTTGTCAGCAATCTATTTATTAAACAAAAAAATCTTCGCTTATGTGAACGACTATCGTAAATGGCTTAATAAAAATCTTCAGTAGTAATTATGAAAACAAGTTGACACACGCGTGTTTAAAAAATTGCTTGACAAAAAATCCAATATTATTCACATGGATATTCCTTTGAACATAAATTGCTGATGTTCATCTTAATATTGACGACCGAAAAAATTAGAGATAAACTTGAACTCCACCTGTGTGGAAATTAAACATTGGCAATAAGTTTAATTCAAGAAAAAACTATTCGCTTAAATATTCATTCCCTCTTCATATAGGACAATTAATATTCAAAGTGATAGCTCGAGAAGTGTGAGAATTGTGCACATCTGCGTCGAAAAAATGTTTGGCACAAGCAACATTAATTGACAAGGATATTTCTTCGAGAATAAATTGTTGATGCTAATCTAAATATTGACGACCGAAAAAATTTGAGAAGAACTTAGAGTCCAATCCAAGACAAAAATTGTTTCATTGTAATATTTATTCCCTCTTTTTTCAGGAGTATTTACATCTACAATGATAGCTCGAGATATGAGGGGACCGCACGCGCCTGCCTAAAAAAAATGCATGGCACAAAATCCAACATAAGTCCACCTGTCAAATTAACCTTTGGCACCAAATCCAAGACAAAAACTATATCACTGTAATATTCATCCCTCTTTTTTCAGGAGTATTAACACTCGAAGTGATAGATTGAGAACTGTTAGAACTGTACACACCTTCCTTAAGAAAAATGTTTAGCACAAAATCAACATTTATTCACATGGACGTTTCTTTGAACATAAATTGTTGATGTTCATGTTAATATTGACAACAATAAATGTGAGAAGTTAGAGTCCACCTGTGTGAAAATTTACCTTTGGCACCAAATCCAAAACAAAGACTGTCTTACTGTAATATTTATTTCGAATTTTAAAGGAGTTTAACGCTTATAGTGTGAGAACTGCAATATTGCCAACCTAAGTTGAAACCCCTCTTAGTTCGTCCAAAGCTCTTTCTAATTGTATAACAATGAAAATTATGTGCCACATCTTTTGAGCTAGGTTTACCTGAAAATTTCATTTTTTTTTTGCACGTGTATTATCCTTTAACAACTAAAAAAGTTATCTGTTTGCTTAAATAAGAAACAAATTGAAAGCTTCTTAGTGAAATATGTCACTAAAGAACGGGAATTCTGAGTTTCAGACGAGAAGTAATCATCTTTTTGTTGTTCTTGTTTTTGATTTTGTTTTATGGGTCAATTGTTCATACTGTTTTTCCAGCTGCACTCTTAATATCCAGATGTGCATGAAGTTAAAAAAAAAATTCATTGGCAAATGCAGAGGTCTCTTAGCATAAAATCATT